AGTGTCGTCTTTAAGAGAACACATAGTTTTAGTGACAGCATGTTCTATTGTTCGAAGTTCGTATCTATTGTTCGAGCTTGGCGCCACATTTTTATAGGAAAAAAAAAAGTGTTGGGAAACGTTACACTCAAACAAGGTAGACTATCGAAAATATAAAATTCCGAGCTGCTTACTCACTTTTCGGTTAATATTATAAATAAATCTTATAACATGTTAATGTATAAATAAAATTTTATTAACCGATTTATTCATTAATGTAAAACGAAGTCGCTTCCCGCTTTCTGTAAACTGTGATCTTTTAAACTTCACAACGGACTTAATGTCGACGCTGGAAAGGAAACACGTAGTAACCCGCAAAACGAAAATTATTCTTCAAAGCAGAAAAACTTTTATTTTTTCGATAAATAATTCCTACAAACGTCCATGGTATCAAATAAGGTGCTCCTTAGTCAATTTATACGGAAATAAGATTTTTTTTTTTGGAAAAATATAAAGATTTTCCACTCTAAATATCCATTTTGGTTTTGGAAGTTACTACGTGTTTGCTTTCCAGCATCGATGTGGTTTTGATCAATCTGCAGAGTGATTCACGAGGTTGTTCTCTATGTCTACTAAAGGACCACGCAGATGAAGCCGCTGATGGAAAGCTAGTTCTATTCATGTTGTCGATACGCTGAAACGTCATAAAAATTCAATCAAATAAAACCTATTTCAGGCAAAAAGGTTTTATTTCTGTATTCGAAGATGAACTCAAGGCTGTTTTAACAGTATAAAGCAGCTGGATAAGTTTTTAATACAAAAAGCATTTGTAAAATGTGATGCATGTTGGCAGTACAATTCCTCAAAAAGGCATAATAAAAGAAAAACTTTCACATTCCCTAAGTCAATTATACAGTCACTTCCGTCGCATATTGTGCGTTTGCATGGGGCAATTGCATTATGTAATTAATTGCATGTTTCTTTTTAATTGACGTCACACGATATGCGAGGCAACAATTGCCTTTGCCTTAAAAAATGTATTTTTATCTCCATTACATGATCTTTAACTCTTAAAGCATATTTACACATTCCACAGAGTAGGTATCTATACTAACATTATAAAAAGGAAAGTTTTACGTTTGTTTGCATTGAATAGACTCCGAAAATACTAAAGCGAATTTAAGAATGCTTTGACCTAAGGGAAGCTCATACACGGGTGATAGCAACGGGAGAAGCCGCGGGAAAACAGCTAGTTTATATATGGTGAATAAATTGTTTCACAAAAGTTAAGATATGATTTCAAGTAGCAAAAAGAGTTATACAACTGTATGAAAGGTATCACCTTTATTATACATATCAATATAATTATAAGGAAGGAGTGAATTTTGAGATGATTGCTGATCGAGAAATATGGAAGAAGAATACATATTCCAAATTATTCCATGTTAATATAGAATCTTAATTTCCGTAATATTTAGTTATTAGCTTTGACCCACCTTTAAAATTTATTCAAGTAAATACGTGACTCTATATATAAAGAATGATGCCCTACGAAATTTTTATCCCTCTTCCACCCTTTTTCAAGAAAAAAACTAATGTTGATTTTTTGATTCTCACATTATATTTTCATACGAAATTGACTGTAAATTGGTCAAGCAGCTTAAATGTGAAAATCCAATAGGAATAGACCAACGATGAATTAAATAAAGGACATTTATGACATAGATATATAAAGAATAAATCTGTTGCACTTGATTTGATACCGTGCGAACGCGTTATAATATGAGGAGGAAATTATAATAAACAGATATCCCGGTCCCCTCGATCTCCGCCCTCCCTCCCTAATAAATATTAATGTACGAGCTGAATGCTCCTCGGCTGCTGGTACATTGACACTTAATTTGCTTTTTTGCAGTCGATGCACTGATCTTGCTTGTGAATACTTTCGACATCAAAGATTATTATCAGTTCTTTTGAATAACATTAGTCAACTCTAGCGATTAGGATTTACTATTTGCTAACCTAATAACAGAGACCACTCGTATCTATAGTTAAGTATAAGTAATTACTTGAGTAAATATTTTAACTAATAGATGAGAATTTGAATAAAGTAAGTCAATAGGTAATAATAATAGAGCTGGTGAGTTACTTGCTCGTTCTTCTTATCAGCCAAAAGACGTCCTGAACGAGTGGTAGGGAAAAAAATGTTGGACGATTCAAAAGTACCTTTAAGAAGTCTATTTGAATAAAGATTATTTTTGACTTTGATAAGTAGTACTTATTCAAAGTTTTGAGAGTTGTGACTTCATTTAAATTATTGTTTATTTGTAAAATATATTTCTTTAACTTTTTACTTTAACTCGAGTTATTACTTCTACACGACTATGATACGGGTTCCATATACATTTTAATAACGTTTAGTTGTAATTTACCTACTAATCGCAGGTCAAACTTAAGTTTTTTTTGTGCAATATAGAGTGCATATAAGTATAGTTTATGTAAGAAATTCAGAGCCGAGCGCTGTCACAGCTTAGATGTATGTACATACAATCGAATAAAACCGCCTTGAAAAGTAATAAAAGGTTTAAGTTATTTATTTCTTTGGCACACAAAACCAGTCGAAAGTTATTGTTTGTTATACGTGCCCTCAAATAAAGTCTCTCGTTTATAACTAAAAAAAGTTAAATAAATTTATTTATTCAATAAAATAAATACTACGTGCTATCTCAAAAATATCGAAAAACAAATATCTAAATTCTGAATTTCAATTTCCAACGATATTTGTAAAATACAACACCAGATACCAATACTAATAAATCTAGTTTATTATTTGTTTACACTGTACTAAATGCTGGGACCGACAAAGATATAAAATTCGATAGACAAACAATACCCCTTGTACGTTTGTAATTTTAATGATTATATGAATTGCAGTCAAGGGCGCTGCCTACACAATACATTAGTGGGACGGGTCACGTGACGCGCGGAGGGACACGCAGGGAACACTTTTCCCAACTATTTCCCACGAGCCACCCCCAACTGAGGGGAAGCTAGGTTATTGGCTTTGTTCCGATCTTGTCACCCAATACATATCCGGATATCGTATTGTTATTGTTTTCATATTGTCAATAGATTTAAAGAATGGACGACGATTTGGTAACAAAAAATCAAATAAAAACATATTCTCCTAACATATTCTCCTTCTTAATTCGATTAACTTTTTTCTTATTAAAAAATATACAAAAGAATATATTGAAATTATTTTCCGCCTATTTAAGTCTGTTTCGTATTTCGTTTATATTTTATAAAACTAATCCAAAAATACGAATTGCGCATAAATTTGTTAACTATTGTTAAGAATAATTTGAAATGGATAAGAATAAGAATAAGAATAATTTATTTGCAAGAATATGGTATAAAGTAAGGTCTTAGTTTTATTACAAGCACGGAACACATTCACCCCGTTTGGGCATGCAAATTATAAAATTGTCAGTAGTAACTAAATTGAATTTAAAATAAGAATCTCATAATCAAATTGAAAAAAGAAAAAATATCAGATAAATTCAGAATCTTAAAATCCTTCAAAAAAATTACGAAAAATTGAGAATCTTAAAATCCTTCAAAAAAATTACGTAATCAGCAATTAACACAGAAGAATGACAATGCAAGATTCACTTGGTGCAACAAGTATTAGTATACCTACGTATAAAATCAAAGCCACTAAATTTGAGGAAAAATTTTAATGTTATAATTGCATTTAATAGGCTCCAAAATTACATAATCGATTTTAAAAATTCTTTTAGCATGAGAATCCTACATTATCCTTGATGAACAAAGGCGACATATTATTTCCAAAAAACGGTTCTTTACCTATGTAAAAATAGCCGCACGAAGCAGGGGAGGGCCGCTATAATATAATACATATATTTCATAATGTAACCTGCTTTTCTGTGTCTATGAATATTACCTGGAAGTTATTCTATTGAGAAAAACAAATGAAGTCTGGACCTAGCTTATTAGGTACACTAATTGATCATTACAGAACTATTATTGACGTGTCCTTGTTATATATTCGTGGAATTCAAAAATTAAGCATCATCAATTTGATACCAATTTTACACACGCAACATAAAACTTTTGCTTTATCTGCAATTTGGTTAATGCCGATGAATTTTGCCTCAGGTCTAGGTTGTTAAGCAAAATGAATGTTAAGAATCAGTAGAATTTCATTCGCGTTAGTCATCCAAGGTTTTACATTGATAGCAAAGAAATTTATTGGTAATGATTAATATAGAAAATTAAACATAGAACTATTACATACTGCCTACTAGGCTACTAGGTTTCAGTCGCGGCTTTGCGCACATAGATTCATTCATACATGATTCTCTTTAGTATAAACTTTCAACCCTTGTTTCACCCCCTCGGAGTGAGAATTTCCTCAATCTCTAAAATGGGATCACAAATTTTTGAGCAGAAGTACAAAAATAAAATATTATATTACTAACTTTAAAAAAAACGGATTTTTATACAGTTTTTACACTTATAATATTAGTAAGGTCCAAGCTGAGCTTTGAAAGTAGTCAAGTCATCGTCAAGTCCAAATGTGCTATTACGAATTTGTGTCATATCTTCCTAAATAAAGAACCCATAAAATCCTATTTCCATAAAATTTAAATTGGTGTTGTTAGTCTATACTTTAAAATAATATAGATTTAGTTAGTTAACACTCATAGTATTCGTGTTAAAGGTTTTAAAAAAACTTTAAGGGTCTAATGTATCAAATAAAAATTATAAAATTGTGGTACCTAATAATCAATTCAACTTACAAATTAAACAGCCTACATTTAATTTTAATAAAACGTTTCATCTTTCTCAACTAACTGCAACTCTAATAAGAATGTATATAAATTTTAAGTTTACCACAGATATTCTAATACTATGCTTTTTGATACATGCATCGACATTGGATTATACATGATATATTATCAAACACAAAAGAATAGAAAAGTCCACCCACGTACCTGCCGGCCCAGTCGCACTGGTCTCCCATCAAACCCGCCTCGACGACGCAATTCATGCCCAAAACAAAAGTCCAAAATATTACTCCAACCACCATTTTGAGTTCTACAACAATCTATAACAATAGCACCACCATACGTATCACATCACTCCTGTGAACGATACACGTCCACTACATAATTAGCAAAACGTAATTATTTACGTTTTTTTACGACAATATCGCTATGGTTAATAACGCGCTACAACCTACTAACTGCACGTCAAAACTGATACTAAAAGTTTTAAGAGAGAGATAGCGGCGCGCTGTGATTGCTCCACTCGATTCATTATGAAAGAGTAAAAGAGACAGAAGCCATAATAATGTTTAAAAACAGAACAAAACGTACTTCTATCTCGCTTTAGAGTATCCATTTAGTTAATAAACGAAGTTGAACCCTAAGAGCTTGAATTAAAATATAAATTTACTTAGAGGAAAGCTGAAGCTTTACAAAAGTTTCCAAATTGGCGGGAACTGTTTGTTTGCCAGCGAAAGCTATGTTGTGTCGCTTTGCTGGTAATAAGATTTATCATTGCTACAATTCGTGACGTAAATCGTGATAGATGAGATTTCGAGTTTAAATGAATTAATAATGAAATTATAGTCTTTTATATTTATAGATTAAGCCTGATATTAATTATAAATATACATATAATAATGCTAGTATTATGTGGTAAATAATACTTTTTATTAACATTATTTTATTCTACAACTTCAAAAAATAATGTAGTGGTAATACCTATACCTAAGTAGAATTTATATTATTATTTAAATAACGGGTTCCGGGTGCGCGTTTCTAAGGTGTCGATAACTCTGAAGTTTCATGCTCGATTCCCGATAGGAATTTTCTATATGATCTCAAGTCTGGGTGTTGCAGTACACCTTTGTTTTTCAGATTTCCATTATACAAGTGCTTTAAATATTTAACTTTGCATCTGAACAATGCATTTGATGTCGTCTAATATTTACCTATTTATTTAATTATTTTATTTACTTAAAAACTTGTTCTTTCCTCGTCACCACATAAATAAATGTATATTTTATCACACTTATTATCAGTCAGATTGAAACTAAACTAAAAGTCACAATTAGACAATTATTCTCAGACAATATTAATTTACCTTTTAAAAAATCAAACATGATTTACCATTAGTTTAGTTATAAAAAAATCACCATTATAAAATGGCTCACTCATTCATGGCAGGTAAGACTACGAAGAGAGGTGTGCTAGCCAAAATAATATAGCCAATAACAGATAATCATCCCCTTTTTTATAAAATGATAGTTGCCCTTTCCCTTATATTTTAGGGTTCCCAATATGAAACAATAAGCTTTTAAAATGATTTGACCTGGAATTATTGAAAAAATATAAGTATGATGTATATGACTTACAAAATATTTTATTGTCTGCATAAAAGCTACTTCGGATAATTTTAAATAGTGAAAAATAATACCTACTTATTTTAAAGGGGGTTAACAGCCTCAGGGCTGTGACCTACGATTTTTTCCAACCGGGAGAGAAACTTCACAAATACGACCATACGTATTGAGGATTTTTTATATATTTTCTTTTATTTCATTTAGCGACTTTTGAGCACATTTTTGTGAAGCTCATTATTTTTTAGGGTTCCGTAGCCAAAGTGTAAAACGGGAACTCTATTACTAAGATGTCGCCAAACATCTCATGAACCTTGAAAGTTAGACAATTGAAATTTTCACGAATAATATATCTGTAGCCGTTTCAACACCGAACACTAAAATCCAGAATAAAATAAATATTTAAAAGGGTTCCCATACTACAAACTTAATTTATTAGATTTTTTTGCTCAATAATGACAACGACAACAGGAAGACGCTTAAAATATTTACAGAATATGTATTTATGTAGTAACTTAAAAAATTAAATTACATTTAACAAATAACTAAGGGGCGCTCTCATACAACAAACGCGATTTTTTAGCTCGTTTCCGGCACGGAACCCTTCATGCGCGAGTCTGACTGGCACTTGGCCGATGTTTTAACCTAATATATCTATGCCCCCGTGACGCTGCGTTCAGTGCAACCTTAAATCCGGCTTTGACAGTTCATATGTTTCTAGAAACTTCCCTCCACTTCTTAAATTCTATTTGCTATTACCATTGATAATGTCTATTAGGTTTGTTAACAATAATATAATAAAAATAATCGTGTTAAACATTTAACATTTATATTTCTAAATTTTACTGAACCAACTTTCAATTTGAGACGATACGGGCTTAACCATCATCAGAACCATTTTTTGCCCTATTTTATGGGTGATCTGTAAAAGATAAAAGCTCGCGCATCCAAATATTAGTAATTTTCTATGAAAAATAGGAGTTTTTGCTACTTAACTTTCGCTATTGTATTGTTTTGTTATATTTTTAATGATACTGACTGGGAATTTGCCATATTTCTAATAATCAAATTTTTAAACGTTATCATTAGTTTCAACCATAACTCAATTCAGCACCTATAATTAATTATGCACATTATGCATACTTATTTTCTCATTTGGATCATTCATTAGAGCATAAAGGTTTAATGGACATTTGTCCAATTAAAAGTTGCAAAAATAAATTCCTTCATCTCAGATTTTACATAATTATTCATTCAACAAAGTTTTAACAGTTTGGAAAATTTATTTTTATATATGTCGCAGGATTGTGATAAAAACAATTTTTGAGCGTAAACCTACGATTTCGATTAAGATCCGGTGGATGATAAAATTATTACTTAATTTTAACATATTTATAACTGAGAAATAATGGTTTTTATCAAAAATGCTCAGGTGCAGGGATATGTTAAACCAAAAACAAGAAGCCTAAACCTAATTAGTTTTGTCATTCCTTTTCTCTCGCAATCCTATAGACAAAAACGGAAAAACTTGTTTGGATATAATCAAACCTAATAAAGCAGTCTTTAAAAAAGCATTTAGAGGCAATGAGGTCTCTAGCGTCACGATTCATATTCCGTTATTACGTGTCTTCGTGCGTGCGCCCATGTTTGTGAACAGATAAACTAAATCAATAGGCTGTGTTTGCCGGCGAGATAGATAGTCGCTTTGTCGCCATTCACTCTTGCTTGTTTAGGCCGATGATTCGCCCCTTATCGCTGAGTCCACGCAAAATAGGGTTTGTTGAACTATGAATACGTACGACTTAAATATATTTGTTTATTTATTGTATTCATATCAGATAAAATTAATGGAAGATTACATTGTGGTCTACCAACATCTTTATAATATACGTTTACACAACTGTAAAGATTCCCTCCAGCGACTCTAGCGCATAAAAGTAGCCCTTTTCAATCTGTCAGCCTGACAGATCAGCTATCGGCAGACCGAAAATATTATTGACCTGTCCAATCCTAAACCAATACTGATTGGTCTGCTGAATGTTGATCTGTCAAACTGATATATATAATTTAGGGCAGTGGTTCATAACCGGTGCTCCGCGGCCACTGGTAGTCTATGAAGTGGTCCGTGGAGCCCCAAAGAGACACTACTATAGACACAAAATTTAGCGCAGTGTATTATTTTGACGCCAAGTATACCCCTCCAAAATGATTGTGGCAAAATCAAACGCACAGATATGCTTTGAAGTGTTTATGTGATCAAACGCGTCTTTATAATGGGATCGGATGGGATTACACACGGCACATCTAAGAAGTCAGCCACATCATAACCATTATAATTAACTTGTAAAGGAAATTTTGTCTCTCACATCGTTTGTTGTTAGGGTAGGTGAAGGCGACGCCTAAATTCTATTACTTTTAATAAATGTACTATAGTGTTTAATCAAAAAGCTAATTCTGTTAGTATTTATATTTTAATATGGGTTATAAACTTCCCTCATTGCAATAATTTTTAAGCATAATAGTTTTATTGGTTTAAATGTAATTGGTTTCCTATTCTATAAAATGACTATAAAACCAATGACTATGCCATTATGTCAAAACCACAAAGACTTACGACGCCGTAATAATAATATATTCTTATTATCACAGTTCTTAGAAATGATGTTTATACTTACAGTAGGTATACTATAGTTATAGATTTCTCTAATCATTGTTCCCCGACCACAATGCCTATTGATCTATCTAACAATAATCTGATAATAACACCGTCCCGTATAAATGACATTCACCAATCTATATTTAAACTATTCAATGAAAGAGCGAAGACGAAATGTACAAAAAAACCTTGATATTTATTTTTTTCGAAATAATAATGTGTTATGAAAAATCAACAGTCTCCAATTGCCTGTGGCACAATAACTCGTGTAAGTTCATTCTTTTGATGTATTTAAAGTTTACGTTTAAATGCAACTACTTACAGAGATATTTGTTAATTAAACTTAGGTACTCACTCTGACCGCAGAGAATTTGTTCTTGTCTGTAAGATAAATGTTACGGGCCTTAACTAACGCAGTAATTAAGCTAGTTTTTATTCTCGCACGATTTCATTAAATGTGAAGATAAAAGTTTACAAATGTGCTGTAATTTTGACTTCTAATTTGATAATTTTAAGTAATAATAAAAATGAAAAGTTTCTAACTTTGTTTGTTTATCTGTAAGGAGTAATCTTCTGAAATACTGATCCGATCATGAAAATTCTTGCACCTACGGGAAGATTCATTATACGGAATTAATATAAGCTATAATTTACTCGGAGTAGCTTGGTGCCATAGTGGATACGCGCCGCGGCCCGCATTCATTGTTGTTAAACTACTTACGCAAGGGTCGGTCACGGGATGGGTGACCAAATAATTATTATCTCGAGCTATTTCTTGCTTCGGAAAGCATATTAAGCCGTTGGTCCCGGCTGCATTTGCAGTCATTAATACCCTGCAATCCATATTAGGCCATCGTGGAGGTTCATGACCCTTCCTTGTTAACCATCCACAAAGAAGGCGAGGCCCTGCAGTGGGACGTCCCTACTGCAGGGACTCAGACCCTGTAATGACGATAACTTACGCATACGTCAACGTGTAGGTCTAATAGAACTTATGATTAATAATTTTAGCGAATTTAGAAATTTAGAATATTTTATCTTAGAAAAATCACTCGTTTGGGTGTTGGTGGTTTCAAGCCAATCGAGTATAGCCAGAGTAAGATAGTAGGTAGTTATTTTTAGGGTTTAAGTTTTCATAAGTCATGTATTTCTGCCGCCGGTATAACAACAAATAAAAACAGATATATTGACAAATAAAATAAAT